AACAGCTGGAACTGTACAACATGAGTTCACCAGGATTAATTGTGACTTAATTTACTGCTGTTAACACTTTAAAAGAATGTATAAGATATACATAATTAAGTGTTGACTTAACCTCTGATATTTATGATTAAAATGTAGTACATTTTACATTGACTACAGATGACTTGCCTCGTTTTTGCACATTTACCCCATCATAAATGAAACAAGACACTATGGTGAATGTTCTCATTGTCATAATACACATACGCAAAGTATCAACTCATATCTTAATTATCAATGATTGATTTGATTAAAACCAAAGTATTCTTGTATGGGGACAATACTGTTCATGTTGCTGCTGTTACATGATGTGCTCCTTAGAATCATTAGTAGTACAATATTTATTCTGGATAACTCAAAAAAATAATAATTTATGATCCAACAAAAATGTTGTTGTTCAAGGTAAACATATTTAGTTTTGGCCCTTTAAACCCTCCATAAATATAAAGCGACCCAATCAAAAATGTCAGCAGATGTCTGGTAGAAAAAGGTTGTCATTTAACCGCTTGCTGTAGATGGTGTCTTGCAAACGGTTTCGCCTATGTAAACAGTTGGACCTGTTTGAAACTGAACGTTTTGGAGGAAACCTGGTCTTATGAGCTGAGAAGATGTTCATCCCATTTGGGATGGAGTGGCTCTTTTATCTAAGAATACACAGCTTATAAATGTGAATTGACAACCCAGAGTTGGGACCAGGAGGCAGGCTTGCAGTGCTATACACTCAGTATTCCCTTTAGATCAGTCACACAATAGACACAATAAAGTCCCATAGTGAGTGTCAGCCCCCTGCCCTGTTTATTTATGTAAATAGAAAATAAGCAAAAGAGGAATTCCACATAAAAACATAATAAAAATTAACTTCTGAAACAACACAAAAAAGCAAGCTGATTAAATGTGGACTATTAAACATCATTGTCATCATAGGCTGTTTTAGAATTAATAATAATAATAACTTTACTGGTATAGCACTTATCTAAACAAGGGTACAAAGTGCTTCACAAAACAGATCCATAGCAAAAAGATGAATGAATTACAATTAAAGTTTAAAATTTCAATGGCTAAATAATAACATAATACGGTCAAGACCTTAAAATTTATAGAGAAACCCAACAGTGCCCACAATGATCAAGCACTTCGGTCACTGTGAAGAGAAAAAACTCTCATTAACTGGAAGAAACCTCTCAGGACCTGACTTAGTGTGGGCAGCCATCAGCCTTGACCGCTTGGGATGAGCGGAGAAAATGGGGAAGAGATGAAAGGTGGGTGGCTAAGAGGTGAGAGAGATGGGGGGAGAGAGAGACCAGTAACAGTTGTGTATCAATCACATTTGATCTCTGTCAGACAGGTTGTTATAATGAAAATACTAATAATCTTCAATTGTGCCTTGGCTTCATCAGGTGTTTCAGCCTTTTAATCGCAATAGTGTGAAAAGCCGTGCCTGAGGTATGCAGAGGCTAAAGGTAAACCTGATGTCTATGCCCTTTTTAACTAAACTAAATACCCACTCTCATAGGCAGCAGAGTCAAAAGCTGTCATATTTAAGAAAAAACATAAAATGTAGTTGCAATAAAAATAAGATAAAACAAATACATTAGTTAAAACAACACAGTGGTACCAGAAATACAAATTTCATGTTAAAAATGCTTTACTGTAAAAAATATGTTTTAGCAGTGATTTCACAATAGGTAGTGAGTTGGTGATCCTAATCTCATCAGGCAGGGAGTTCCAGAGCCTCGGGACCCTGAAATAGAAAGCCTGGTCACCTCAAGTAGCCAGTCTGACCAAGGGACCGCTAACAAGGACAGGCTAGCCGATTGCACGTTGCGACTGTAATTGTAGGGAGTCAGAGTTGCGAAATGTAAGTAGGGGCCAGCCTATGTTGAAAATAATCTTAACATTGAAATTTAACTGGCAGCCACTGAAGAGATGCAAGGATTGGTGTGATATGACACATATGGTTTGTTTTAGTTAAAATACGGGCAGCAGCCTTTTGAACAAGATCTAACGAGTTACTATGGTTTGACTAAGACATGTTTAAAATGCATTGTAATAGTCAAGATAGGAAAAGACAAAGGCGAGGTAGATAGGGAGAGAATTTATTTAATTTTGGAAATATTTCGTAGATGGAAGTAGCAGGATTTTATGATTTCATTAACGTGTGCAAAATTCAGATGGGAATCAAATGTGATGCCTGTTTTTAGCTGTGGTTTTAACATTGGTTGCCAGGGACCGAGAAATGATGAAGTTTGCCCGCTAGCTGATCGGGACTGAAGATCATATTTTCTGTTTTGTTTGAATTTAACTGAAGGGAGTTAAGTGGCATACATTCCTCAATGGCAGTGACATTGTCTGGCTTAAAAGACAGGTAGATTTGAGGTAGAATGATATGATATCCCATTAAAATTGCTGATGACATTTACTAATGGGAGAAGGTACAGCAAAAATAGGATGGGACCAAGAATAGAACCTTGAACAGGATGAAAGCTGGTGACAGGTGTAAGGGTTCCCAGAGAACTGGGTCAGGGATGTTTGTGTTAAGGTCTGCTCTTCGATAAAGCTGCTCAAGAAGGAGTCTCTGTTCTGTTCTGTGCAGCTCATCCGAAAGCCGCCGGATGTCCTCCGACAGGAGGTCAGCAATCTTTATATTTGCTTTCTGAAGTGGGGCATAGTTGCAAGGCAGGTATGGCATGATGTTTTGTAAGCTTAGCAGTCAAGTATAGGAATATAATGTAGACTAGATATAATTTTCAAGTTAAAGCAGGTGATACTGCACAAAAGTGACTTTGAGTGAGGCTATGCTAGCGGCAGGAACAGGTAACATAGGCTGAAACTCAAGATCCTGAGATCTGATCAGTGAGATCTGATGCCTTGCTACAGAGATTGTGTTTCTAAACTAGGATACTACCTGGTCGAGTAAGAGAAACAAGTGTAGATCTGGTAAATTTTGAGTTGAGTTGGACTCAAGACAGAGGTTCTCAGTGGTGGCTGCATCCTGAAGAATATGTCAGCCTAACTGAATTCTCTCTCCCCACAGTCATATAAAGGCTCTCATTCTATGATAATCTGTCCAAGGAAGTAAATGGTTGTATTAATATAGCTTTTTTCTAGTCTTGATGACCACTCAAAGTGCTTTACACTACAGTTTGCCATTCACCCATTCACACACACATTCATACAGTGCATCTATTAGCAGCACTTATTTTTGTTCTATGGGGCAATTTGGGGTTCAGCATCTTGCCCAAGGAAACTTTGGCATGCAGATGAGAAGACTGGGGATTGAACTTCTGACCTTCTGGTTGGAGGACAACCGCTCAACCCCTCAGCCACAGCTAGTTGATTTTTTCTGCAGACCTGACTGTCCGTTGTAGTCTGTTCCTGTCCACTTTAGGTCCTTGGAGATTGTGGATCCCAGAAATCTGAAGGTCTCCAAAGCAGACACAGTACTATTGAGGGGGGCAGTATTGGAGGGCTCCTCCTGAAGTCCTGTCATCTCCTCAGTTTTGAGCTTGTCCAGCTCCAGGTTGTTCTGACCACACCCGAGGGCCAGCTGTTCAACCTCCTGTCTGTACGCAGACTCACACCATCCCAGATGAGGCTGATGACCGTAGTGTCGTCTGTGAACTGCAAAGTTTAACAGACGGGTCTCATGAGGTGCAGTCGTTGGTGTTGATGGAGAAGAGCAGTGGGGAGAGCACACATCCCTGGGGGGCGCCGGTGCTGATGGTTCAGGTGCTGGATGTGACGTTTCCCAGCCTTACCTGCTGCCTCCTGTCTGTCAGGTAGTTACTGATCTACTGACAGGTAGAGGCTGGGAGAGTTTGGGTTGGAGTATTCCAGGATGATGGTGTTAAACACTGAGCTGAAGTCCACAAACAGAACCCATGCGTATGTCCCTTGAGATGTTGCAGCATGTAGTGCAGTCCAATGTTGACTGCATCATCCACCGACCTGTTTGCCCAGTAACAAATTTGCAACAATCAAAGGCCAGTATGAGTGTGCAGGGGAGTTGCCTGTTGTTTTTTCTTAGACGACTGACCTGACGCCCAACCCCTGTGTGACAGTCAAATACAAATTGATCTATCTGAATCAAAACTGAATCAGCCGAAATGAAAGGAGGTGAACTTAGCTGTAGTGAAAATGGGATATATATATTTATAATGCACTGTACTAGTGTGCTAAGTCTGTACTAATTATGTTTAACAGTGGTTGGTCGGTTTTCGGGGCGACTTAGGTTCTTTCTCGGCACAGGCAATAGCTGTCGCCCACTGCACCCTGGGGAGGAGCCTATGTCTTTTGGGACTTTCTGGGGTGACTTTGGGTCACGCCCAGCAAAAACAATAGCTGCCAGCTGGGACGAAAGACTTTCTGACTTTTCATTCAAAATCCTAAGTTTGCCACCACTGATGTAGCAAAGGAAAATGTAACTGTGGAAGCTGAGAGGCTGCAGCAGGGTTTAAAAAATAAATGTATGAGTGTTTTTTTATTTTTCAGACTGATGTGAATATGCCAACATAATCAGTCCACAGCTGAGGTTAAAACTAAACTGTGAACAATTTGTAAAACATTTTTTTTTAAATAAAATGTTTCATCATATCAAATCACTATACTGCAAGTAAGAGATAGATGACCTCCGAGTTCAGATCTAAAGTAGAGCAGGGAGAGACAGACAGTCTCTATACTCTCCTCTTCTATTACTACCATACTATATAGAATAATAATCACTAATGTTCAAAATCAGCAAAATGCAAAAAACACATTATAAAATTCTAATTTATGTAAAGTAACGCAGATGAATGACCATGCCTCATGTTCTATTGTATGAAAGGTTTAAAGCCATTAACTTAGAAGTTACTCTCACTGTGTTCTGTATGAAACTGATAAAACGTCAAGAAGCAGGCCACTTCAAGCGATACTAAATTAAACACCGTCATCATCCCTCTCCTCCTGTTGAAACAAAACACCCACACAACTTTGTCAAATTTGTCTCCATCTTATGGGTGATCTAGTTAACTGAATTTGAGAGTTGGACTTTTCAGACTTTAAGTCTGTGGATGGACAATTTGAAATAAAATGCAGGTAACTTTGCAGAAAATAAATAAATAAATAATAATTTTACAATCAATCCCACAATTGAATTTGTATGACTCAATCACTTAAGTTATGAACAACTAATCCTAAAGTTTAGTTTACACTTAATAAATACAAAAATAATAAAACAATTTATATATATTCCTTTTTAAAAACTTGTGGTTTCACTACGCTTCTAATTCTACATTAAACTTTCAGAAAATTGAGTATCAACACTATTTAAATTTAAAAAATTACACATTCAACCTTATCTCTCTTTACACTCAATTAAAATAGTTTTTGCCTTTAAAGTTTTGTTTACTGTTCTATCCATCACCCTAATGCAAACATTTACAGCTTGAAAGGCATTGATGATTGTAATGAGACCTGTCTTGCAGTGTTACTGTGCAAAAGCATTCACTTCTACAGATAAATAAGCTAATGCCTTTTTGGATACAAAACAATTGTTGAAATATGAATATTTTGTTGGTCCACAATGGTGCACCTTTCCAATTCAACAGTCAAAATAATTTGTACAGAGTAAGTGACACACATCCACATGTTGCTGTGTGTCTGTGAACCAAAACATATTGAAGAGATGGTGGCTACATGCCAGCCAAAGAGAGAAGCAGTATGCCGCTTCTCCATTCACAACCAACCAATAACAAGTATTTTAGCCAAGATCTCTACATGGCCTACGTGCATTTTAATGTTGAATTTTCTAGACTAACATAGTGAGAGTAAATGCTAATGCTATGCTACATGCAATTTAGTAGTATCCCTTGCCTCTCAGAGCGATAACAGGCATTGAAGGCGTGATTCAATCTCTGCTGGACTGAGGTGTACTGGTCAGAGGTGTCAAGTAACGAATTACAAATACTTTGTTACCTTACTTAAGTAGAATTTTTGGGTATCTATACTTTACTGGAGTAATTATTTTTCAGCCGACTTTTTACTTCTACTCCTTACATTTTCAAGCAATTATCTGTACTTTCTACTCCTTACATTTTTAAAACAGCCTCGTTACTCGTATTTCATTTTTGCCTGGGTTTTTTTCATCGTTCAAAAACATAGAGTGAATTTGATTGCGATTGGTTGAGGAGTATAAACATATACCATTCCGACACACTATTGGTCTGCATGTGATCCATCGCCCCTGCATGTTACAAATCACGTCACACGCAAGCAAGCCTCGAAGCAGTGGTTCATGGAATTGTAGTTCCGGGTTTGAAGTGCGTATCGAAGCTTCAGTGTTGCGCTCCGCTGCCATCACTACTGCTTCGTCCCGCTGCCAGGCTCATCTGCTCCATTTCGGATATATCCCAACCAAGCACCAGCGAGGAGGCTGGTAGCCAGGCATGGCAATTAATACAGTGGAAGTCCTAGATAGTCTGAGCTTGTGGTTTGAGAGAAATAATATGAATCTCAATCTGTGCCTGTGCATGTATTTTCTCCACAGAAGAAACACCCCACTCATCTAGAGAGGTACACACAACTTACTTCTGCAGCCCTCAAAAGGAAGTCATCCACTGAAGGTTCATTGGCCCCACCTTCCAAACAAACCAAGCTGTGGGAGACTCTAAAAGTGTCCCAGGCAAGTGTGGATAAAGTAGTCCTCAATTTTGTTGTCCAAGGCTTGCACCCACCCAACATTGTTCAGCAACAGGTCTTCATTGATCTTGTGCAACATCTTCAGCCAAATACAAATGTAATGACACACAATACTAAAAACAAAGTCACAAAGGCCTCTGTTGAAATGAAAAGAAAACTGAAAGCTGCCCTCAGTGAAGTTCAGTTCATAGCAACAACAACAGACTGCAGGACGGCACACCGTCGCAGTTTCATTGGTGTCACTGCGCACTGGTTTAACCCCCAGACAATGCAGAGATCCTGTGCTGCCTTGGCATGCAAGCAACTTAGAGGGTCACACACTTTTTCTGCCCTGGCTGGTGCCCTAAATGATATTCACACAGAATTCAATATCAGAGAGAAGATCGTTCGCACTACAACTGACAATGGATCAAACTTCCTGAAAGCCTTCAGAGTTTATGGGCAGACTGACGAGAACAACAATCCTGAACCTGCAGGAGAGGGTGATGGAGAAGAGGATGATGGTGCCCAAAACGATGATGACGATGAAAAAGAGGAAAGCGGTGAGGGTGCTGAATTTGTTAATGCTGGAGCCATGTTGGACGAAGATGACTATTTGGAATACCAACTACCCAAGCACCATCGCTGCGCCTGCCACCTCCTCAATTTAGTGTCCACAGTTGATGCTTCAAAAGCAGAGGTCAACCCATTGTACAAGCGCGTGTCGAGGTCCACATTTGCCAAATGCTCTAGCTTGTGGAACTAAAGTTCAAGATCAACCACTGCATCTGAAGTAATTCAAGACAACTGCAAACTCCAGCTTGTAAGGCCTGTCGCGACAAGGTGGAATTCTCTCTTCTCAGCCGTAGAAAGAATAATATAGAAATGGGTGTAATTTGTAGCAACACAACTACATTTCTAAAAGTCTCAGATGACAATATTTTTCCTTTTTAATTATCAGTTCCTCCATTTCTTGCAGAATATGCGAAGACGATGAGCCCAGTTGCAAAGGTACTTGATGTCCCCACCATAACTCTACTGAGGACCAAGCTCCAGCACCTTCAGGTCGCCTCCAAGTTCTGTGAGCTTTTGATTGCTGCACTTCTTTCAGGCCTTGAAAAACGCTTCGGAGAGATGCTTGCAGATCCAGAGTTGCAGCCTTTCTAGTTCCAAAATTTAAGACCTGCTGGACAAGTGACAACAATATCCTTAAACTTGGTAAGTGTCTCACTTCTCAACTTGCCCTTAATACATGTCATTTCCATGGAAGCAGTGAAATTAGTTTGAAATGACATTTAGTGGCACACGCGTGCACGCACACACACACAAAAACAATACTATCCAGTACACAGTTACAATACTGTCATATGGTCTAATCTGTACTGATTTTTGTTTTTTATTTCACAGGCCTTGACTATATCAGAAGCCACCTGGACAGTCAGGCTGAGAATCACGTCAGTGAGTGCTCCCAATCATCTGAGGAAGAGGACTTCTTTTCCTCCTTGAAGAGGACCGGCCCTCTTGAAATGACCCAGCAGTTGGACACATACCTGGGGTGCCCCGGAGACACAGTAGAGGTACTCAAGTCCTTCCCCGCTGTGTGCCAGCTATCACTGAAGCTTAATACGGCACTCCCTGCCTCAGCAGCCTGTGAAAGACTGTTTAGTGTTGCAGGGCTGATCTTCAGGCCAAGAAGAGCATGCACTGGCTCAAAGAACTTTGAGAACCAGCTGCTTTTGCGGCCGAACAAAGCCTATTGGTAACTCTTTGTTGCAGGTAGTGTGCTTAACTGATGTACATCCTCACACACAAACACACACACACAAAGTGGGATGAAGGGAAGGATGTTTGATCTTTTTTTTTTTTGATTAATCACCTGCAGCTAAGCTTGGATGTTCATTTACATTCCAATAAAGGTTCTTGAAAACATGCCTCTGAAGTTTGACTTTTTGCACCATTACAATGCTTATAGGCATATAACTAGTCATCATATCTTCCGCTCCATGAAACACATGTTAATGCTCAGTAGCACACATATATGGTTCTTTAATGTATTTGCATTATACTAAAATTCATTCATTTTCATTGGGCATATATGAGGCTGAAACGGGTAGCCTAGTGCATCCCAAATTTTTCAACATTAACATTTTAATATAACATTATAGTCATTATGGCCTTTAGGAAAATTATGTTTTTGGGGGGGAGGTCGTGTAGTGCGCTATAGGCCCCTGTGGTGCAGTTTTGAAGCCAGTACTTTTATACTTCTACTTGAGTAAAAAACTTGAGTTGATACTTCAACTTCTACAGAAGTCTTTTTAAACTCTAGTATCTATACTTCTACTTGGGTAATGAATGTGAATACTTTTGACACCTCGGGTACTGGTAGAAACCACCAGTCCTTTCAATACCCCCATCTTGCAGATTCCAAAACCATACCATCTTATGAGTATAGATATGTTCAGGATTTGCAAGCTATTAATGATATCCATTGTTCAGATACCAATTTGATTTTGGCTTCATTCCTGCCGGCTTCAAAGTATTATACAGTTGTCCATTTGAGCACAGACTTATGTTAATTCCAACACCCAGACAGCCTGTACTACTGTTCAGGGAAGGTCTGGCGGTGTATGCAGCAGTGGTAAAATGTGACCTGATGACCTGCCAAAATAAAAGCACTCACTACTTCTAAAGACACTCTTCTTCCTATAATGGATGAAGTTGATGAACATGACCAGAGACCAAACTTGTTGCAGACAATTCCGATTGGCGTGTTCCTGTGTGAGGTGCCTTTGTCCACTCCTCAGCCAGGTGACTTTCGATAAAGAGCAGACAAATGCACTCCACGTTGGCAAAGATAATTCTGAATTTATGGGCGTAGACTTGGTCTAGAATCAGGGAGAGCGGCAGTTTAATTCCATGAGCTCCCTAACTTGATTTTAATTTGGGCTTCTAATCTGATCGACACACTGATTCACATATTTTGGTATATTGATAGCCCCTTGACAAAATGGCCCTGATATTTTGATTTTTCAGCATTGGTAGCCACTCCAGAGACCCACAAATGTTGAAAAGCACAGAAAAGAAACATTTTCATAGGACGTCCCCCTAATGTAGTTTATATGAAGGAATTTCTGAAATTGTACCTTGTAGTCCAGCAGTGGTAATCTGCGAACGAAGGTGGTTGCCCATCTCTATCAGCTGCTGTTTCTCGCTGCTCAGACGGGCAATACACAATGCTGCCTGCTTCAACCTGGTATGCAGTAGAGGAGGGTTGTCTCTTGCACCCTGGACATTTTCCAACTGTGGCTGCTGCAAATACAGGTTTTTCTCTTGAAGCTGTTCTACCAGTGCATTCTGGAAGGAAGATAAGATTAAATTTGAAACAATTTGGATGTACCTCACACAATATATTCCTATCACCTGCCTTGTTAACTGAGGCAATGATATATAGTATTGAGATAAAATTAGTGCATAATTATGTTGCCATTTTTTTCAATTTCCGTAGTTATGGTTTAGCTCTTAATACATTACAAGCTTTTAGTCTGAGCATCTGATCCAGAAAGTTACCTGGATGCCATTAAACTTCAATTAGTTTAGTTCTTTCCTTCAATACCTTTTCTATGATGTTGCAGAGAGCAGATTCTTTATGTGCCACTCTATTCACCTTCTGCCCATCTGAGGAAAAAGACAGATGAAGACAAATAAAAACTAATACAATATGCAATACAATACAACATTCCAAAAATATGTTAGAGTTTAAATTTGTGTTTTTTATTTTCATATTTGTTCTTACAACTTACATTACCATCAGCCATTTCAAGATGAATGAGTGGCTCTGTAATTTTAAATGGGTTTTCCCTATCTTTCATTGGCTCATTAGATTCAGTTTATGTCAGTACATTACCAGAATAAAATACAATTTTAAACGTTTAGCTTTAATGGTGTTAAATATTGGAAGTGATCCATATTAGCTTGTTAAAGCTTTGTGTCATATATTCCACATTATGTTGGAAATATTTCTCTAATTCTGCTTTATGTTGATATGATTGCATCACATATTTTCTCCTTTTCCACCATATTCCAAAGGTCTTCCACTGGATTTAGAGCTGGTGACTGGGGAGGTCATTGAAATTCACTGAATTTACTGACATGTTTGTGAAACCTGTTTGAGACCTTGTAACAGCATTATCATTCTGGGTGTGGCAGTTCGGGATGGGCTGTGAGGGAGGAAAATGGTAAGCAGTGTCAGAGTGTGACATTCAAACTGTAACAAGTAGTTTTATTCAAATTTTAGGTTGCCATTTTAAAAAACTGGCCAGGGACAACAGAAGAAAATGTGCATATTGAGACAAACTCAGGCACATTTATAGTCATTTCGCTGTTGTTTAATGAGCATTGTCCCTGTCAAATAAATGAAATGAAATGAAACATGATTGATTGGTATTAAGGTTGATCAAGCAAACATTCAAGTTCATGAATGTTGCCTTGCTCTCCTTCTCCTTTCAAATTGTCATCAACAGAATTTGTATATTTTGGAATATCCATAACATCAGAGTTTCACCAGATGTTCAAAGCCAATTTTACCCCTTTATTTGACATGTTGGAACCCCCTTCCTGTATCCTGGCTTGGCAGAAATGTACCTCTAAGCTACATGTTCTCCCTCGTTTACTGTATCCAATGAGAATGATTTTTTACTCTCACATAAAATAATTTGTAAGATAAACAGTTGGTTTGACTTTCATCTAGTGTAAATGACAATCTCTAATCAATCCCAGGTGAGGTGGATGGTCTGAACCTTCCAGACCTCAATAAATCAATCAATTAAATGCTCTCTTAAAATATGTGAGGTACTGGGCTCAGAATCATCTGTTCTCAACTTTGCTGGATGTTTAAATTATCATGGATATCAGTTTTATCACGGTATTGTTAAAATGAGCTTTAGATGTTCAAACAATGATACACTAACTGTAGTTATTTCCCCTATGTTAACATTGACATAATATATATTATTTTCCCCAAATTGCTAAATGCAGAAATTTGGTGACAGTGTATGTTAGCATTTATTTGCTATGACCAGAGATTACTAACAGTTCTCCTGCTCTTAAAACTCCACCTCCTGTGTTTTTACAAAACACAACAAATGCTGTACTTGCTGAGACTTGCTGACTTTGGTTTCTGAACAGTATCAATCAAATCATCACAGTACTGTGTTTTGTATCACCACTATATAGATGGAGGGGTGGGTAAAGTATGTAATGTTGTTTACCCCTGAAACTCGAAAACATTTCACCCACCCCTCCATCGGCATAGTGGTGAGTAGATAATGAGAGAATAAAAAATTTTCGGTGACCTATTCCTTAAAGCTTGACCTGGAGCCAGTGTCACTCCTCCTTGATCTTCCTAGTAAACTCATTACTGATGTACATCACAGAAAACTGTTTTTGTCCTAACATTCTGTGCCAAGCAAAACATTTTTTCAGTGGGCTTTCTATAGAGTTTGTGGCGATAAGAGGCGTCACCGGTGACTGTGTGTTAATCGTGTTAATATGTTACTTCCTGCCTCTGCCTGCTGCACCTGGCTGAACCACCTCCTGCCTGAATAATGCAGAGGATTCGATGTTGTTGTGGCTCTTTGATGTTGTGAACGGGTCTGTGTAGAGAACCTCCCACTAAGTTGTGCATGTAAGAAAAGCAGACTCTGGAGTAAAGTTGGGACACAATTCACCAAACTTGTCTGCATGTCAGGTCTGAAAATGCCTTTTTTTCATTCTGCAAAGCATAATTCAATAAATGTTAAACATTTTTTAAAAAGAGTGCTGTCCAAACCTGATAGGTTGACTCTGGAAAAGAGGTCAGGGCAATGGGGAAGTGGTCCATTGGCTATTTGAGTGTTAGCTGTTGGATCGATGGATGTGGCAGCAAGGGATCCTGGTTGCTGAACTGACTGAGGATAGGTTGCCTGTGGCTGGGAGTGGAATAGGGGATGGTTGAAACATTCCATGTCCTTTCTCATCTGAGTAACTGCAGCCCGAAGGATGCTGTTCTGCTCCTTCAAACGGCAGATCTCTTCAGATGCCAGAAGTTCTACCCTTGGTATAAAATCCTGTGTGTGGATAAATACAGACTGATTAATGCACTGTATATATCTTAGTTGTTTGTATTATTTTACAGAATGGACATAAAAGACTGCACCAACGCAGGTTGGAAAATCACAGTGGGTCTTCATGTATTCATGTCTTTTACACTGTTTTTTCTTGTATATTTATATATATATATATATATGCTGTCTGTAAATAACATGTCTGTATATTTTATTGTATATAACCTATATATACACTGTCTGTACTAATAGATACTAATGATCAGCCAGAAACAAATTCATTGTGTGTGTTTAACTCACTTCGCCAAAATAAACCAAATCTGAACTCTGACACAGAGGGTGAGACTCAATGCCCAAAACATCATTAGGGACACCTCACGCCCCAACAATGACCTGTTTAGACAAGTTTTAGATTTGTATAGCACATTTCAACAAAGAGGCAATTCAAAGTGTTTTACATAGAATATAAAAGGCATCATGACAAATTGTAAATGCAACATAAGACAAAACAAAAAAGAAGCATTAAAAGAAAAATTAAGATATAAATAGAGAATACAAATAAATAAATTAAATAAGAATAAAGATTTAAAATAGCTGTGCAGTGTAAGCATTTAAATGTCGGGGCCTCCAGACACTTGGATGACACCACATGAGCAGTATGGAGGCATGTTATGTTTTTTATTTTCTGTTGTTTTATTACGTCTGCAAAAGGAGACACCAGTTACTTCAATTGGATTGGATTGGCTGCAACACTGTTTACCCCTGAGACTCCATAAGTATTTAGACTTTTGTCCTTTATCAGTTTCAATTGCTGGGCCATTACGACCATGTGCTTTGTTTGACTCATAAGCAGGGGTGTGGTCAGCACAGCTGTAGCCAATCGTCAATTCTGGTGTTCAAAAAACAGAATTAGTTGAAGCGTCAGCACCAGTGGATACTCTAAGGATAAAGACAAAGGAATCTTTGGTTGGAGTCTCTGAGGATTAAAACAAAAGAGTCTTTGGTTGGCGTCATGGAGGAAAAAGACAAAGGAGTCTTTGGTTGGAGTCTAAACGCTTTGTTGCTCTGCTTACTTTCTTATTTGAATATGTGTCCCTGTTCATGTGTCTTCTCGTAGATACTATAAGTCATCGTACGCCTTCATAACAGTACCATAACCTATCCACCCTTATCTATCCCACCCATTACACACATACCCAACACCTTGTCACAGGGGGCCTCTGGAACTGTCAGTCAGCTTATCGCAAGATGGAGTTCATGCAACATCAACATTCAGACAGAGAAGTCATCTGACTTACTACTTTTCTCTCTCTGTCCTCTTTATTCAGGACAGGTGCAAAAGTCCTCTCCAGCTCCGTGGTAGCTTGACATGGTGCGTGCCGACAGAGCCACTATGCAGGCATCAGAAAGCAAATGGCGAAAATCAAAACACCTGCTCACATATCATTTCTTCTCTCCTCCTTCTCTGCCTCTATTTCTGCATCCAAAAGCTCTTTTTATTTCCAACCTCTTTGACCCCCCCAGTCCCCCACCTCCATCCGTCCCTCTAACAAGCCACTTTGTCAACTACTTTACATAAAAGGTAGATGACATTCGCTCCTCATTCTTCAACCCACCTTCTGAAATTACCTTTCCGTCTACATCTTCATCTTCATCCCCTTCTTTTTCTTTTTTCATCCCCCTGTCTCGGAATCAAGTTCTTGCCCTGGTAACATCTGCCTGTCCAACCACCTGCCCCTTGACCTCATTCCTTCTCACAATCTCCAGTTTTCTTCTTATATTGCTCCCGTTCATCTTCCTTTTGTCACCCATCTTATAAACACTTCCCTGTCAATTGGCAAGAAACCCTCCCTCAACCCACACAAACTCAAGCATGTTATCTTTAATTAACTCTCTTCCTATCTTCACCAAAACAACCTTCTTGATCCTCACCCATCTAGACTACTGAAACTCACTCATGGCTGTTCTGCCTGTGTGCCATCCAACCTCTGCAACTCATCCAGAATGCAGCAGCTCGATTGGTTTTCAACTTACCCAAGTTTGCTCACATTACACCGCTCCCTTCACTGGTTACCAATGGCTGCCTGCATCCGCTTCAGGACACTAGTACTTGCATATCATGCTGCAAACTGATCAGTTGCAGTCTACATCCAAGATACTGTTAAACCTTACATCCCAACCTGTCCACTCTGCTCAGCATCTACCTATTGGCTGGCTGCTCCCTCACTGTGAGGGACACCTAGCCAATCAACAACACTGCGACTGTTTGCTGTGTGGGCTCCCAAAATGATGGCACAAGCTCCCCATTGACATCAGAAAGTCTAAACATCTTTCGCCGCAGGCTAAAGGCACATCTCTTCCAACTACACCTTGGTTAAGAAGATGATGTCTAACAACCATCGTCAAGTCTGGTGTTTATATATTGCACTTACATGTAGCACTTGTCGTTCTACTTTTTTTAAGCTAATTGTACTTACATGATTCTTGCTGTTCTGGGTTTGTACCTTCAAGGTTGAATACATTTATTTGGATAAAAACATCAGCTAAATGATATGTAATGTAATCAAACACTTCACCCTGTCCCTCCATTAGCATAGTGGTGAGTAGATAATGATTGAATTAAATGTTTTTGGTGAACTATCCCTTTAAGGTGGTTGTGAAAGTTAAGGTCTGAGTCTATGACAGCAAGATTTATGGCTTGGTTTGTGGTCTTTAACTTAACAGATTCAAGCTGAGCGTTGACTTGTAATTGTTCTTCTCTGTCTTCAAAAACAAATGCGTCTGTTATTTCTCTGTACAAAATTCTTACTCATCCAATTGAGGCACTTAGTCAATTATAAGTCGAGTGTAGTCCCTTGATGGTGTGGTTATGTAAATGTGTTTGTCACCTCCAAAAATGTGGTGACAAATGTGTTTATTGTCCATTATCTGAGTGTATGAAAGCTTGTAGATATGGAACAGAAGAGGCGGGTTTGGTTGATGACGCTTCTAACAGGCGATGGACACAAAAATAAGAAAACAAAAAGAAAACAAGTATCTCCCGGTGAAAAGGTGGTGATACACACGAAGAAGACACCGATGAAGATGTCCAGAGAGTTTGTGGTGATAACAGCTGACACCGGTGTCAGGGTGCTGTACATAAGATCATGTTATCCAGGCAGCAGAGTTAATATGTAACGTCATTTCCTGCCTCTGTCTGCTGCACCCAGCTGCTCCACCCCTTGCCTGAATAATGCGGAGGATTTGTTGTGCAGAGACCCCTCCGCTGTGTTGTGCACGTATGAAAGGCAGACTCTGGGTAAACTCCATTGCCAAAACTCTGCTACTCTCCACTATCTGTGTTTATTTGGATGTCATTTAAGACATTAACAAGAGCAGTCTCAGTGTTTTGGTGTGGTCAAAACCAACAGCTTTTTCAACTATGTTTCAATCTGGTCCTAGCGAAGCTTCCCTGTAGTGTAGTTAGCAAACTGAGTGAGTAGTTGGTGAAGGTGAATGAGGGGGTCATGGGGGGTAAGTAGGATCCCAGCGGTGACCAACTTTTTCATGTGGTCAGTGAACTCCAAGAGTGGGGAGGAGGGGGATTAGTTCCTGCCTTGTTGAGAAAAAGTCCATCTGCCTTAAAAAGATGTCCCAGAAAAAGTTGAAGTTGTCAATAAAGTGCACTGAATGGGCAATACATGCTCCACTGTGCAGTATGATGTGTTTTTATAGTGGGATGTGCAGGTACAATATGTTGGATTCTTCCTGCCATTTTCAAAACCATATCTTTGGAAAGCAAAATTAAGGTGCTTTCACTGCTTCTCATGTCTTTCACTGCAGAGTCACCCACAATCAAAGTTTAAGGCCCAGTCATTAGCATTCCCTGTAGCCTTTTACTTTCTGAATTACCCAAAGTTGTTACCCTTGCCCGTGAGAGAATGAGAAGTTATGCAGGTCATTAAATGCCAATCAGGTATCCTGCAGTAGTGGATAAAATCATGTTTTTCTGTTGTACAGTCAGTTGTTTGAAAGGCTTATTAGTTTTCCCTATCACAGTTGTCCTGGTGCTGGATTCTCCCTTTTACTTGTCCTACCATGTTCCAGGGAAATTATTTACTCTTACGTTTGGCACCAAGAGAGTTCCAGGGAGAGAGTTCTAATAACGACAAAAGGGCCTACCAGGTAGAGATTAAAAGCCTAGAGAAATGGTGCCAGAATAACAACCTCCTCCTGATGTGTACAAATGCCTCATTATGGAAGCATATTGCTGTTATATTTTTACGTTATTATGTAATACGGATCATTTTTCAGTTTTTCTGGTGTGAAAGCAATATGCTACCGTGCCTCATAAACTCTTGAGCAGTAAAGCACACACAAAGTAAACTTCAAGTACTATATGAGTAGTAATAACTTCTGTTTAGTTGTCATTGTTTAAATGTAAAGTGAGTGCAGGCCAGTGAGGGAGAGGGGAGGAAGGCACAGTACAAACCAACTGACACTGATTCGACAAAGCACCTTGTTCAAAAAAAGTGCTCTCCTCCCTTATCTGTGGTTCACCGCTTATTTCTCGATGTGAGTGAGTGGGGGCAGGAACAGGGCAGGGTGCTCCCAGAAAAGGCATTCATTAAAAGATCAATCTCGCTGTTTTATTAATCAATATCAGATCCTTCAAATGAAGATCAATTTTGATCAGAAAATTGATTTATTAAAGCTAAGCCCTAGTGATAAACAAGCTTTGAGGGAATTATGACATTATTACAGTAGAACACTATTATACTCAGTCAAACTGTTCTCTTCATGTAAATATGTGTGTATTTTTCTTCATTTTATTTTATGTGTACCTGTATAAGCCACGTCAAAGAAAAATGCTTTGCTACATAAAGGTTTGTGTGATTCTGATGTTCTAAAAAGAAATACAAGACTTGTAGGAGAAGTGCCAGTATAAGAGAAATTTCTTGTGTTAACTGAATCATTTGGTTGTTTCACTTTTGGTTTACGATCAACTTACTCATGGAATTAAAATTGATCAGTGCCTACCACTGCTGCCTTTTCTCATTTGAACAGAGGAAAACAATAGTAAAGCTCAGTAAAGAAAGTGTCAACCAATATGCCTAAATTGGCTCCGATATTGATTTTTTTTTTTTAGATGACTCAAGAATGCACCAATAATAAATTAACACAGTATTTGACTGAATACCATAGCCAGTTTTTGAACCCATCAACAATGAACTTGAACGCTAAGTTCATGTAATGTTTGAGGACCTGACCTGATCTCTAGTGTGTGTCAGTTCCTGTATCTGCTTCTCATTGGCAGGGTAGAACTCGGCCTTCATGTCCTCACAGTTTCTCTGCCACTCCAGCTTTCCACCTTTTAACTGTTGTAAATTCCTTTCTTTCTCCAAACCAGCACAAAGCTGCTGCTTGTACCTGAAAAGACAAACAGACATTTTATAAGTGTGGATTGGCTTTTCTCATAGAAAAAAGTGCTGCCCGTAGATCAATCAATCAGTCAGATTTTATTTGTATAGCCCATATCAGAAGCTTTCTGATGACTGTAATAGTTGGGTTATCAACAAGGGTGAGGATGCTGAATACAGGGCTGTGGTGGGTACCTTTGTGACATGGTGTGAGCAGAACAACCTGAAGCTCAACGTGACAAAGACAAAGGAGCTGACAAAGGGTCAGGACACCGATGACCCCTGTTTCCATTCAGGGGGGAAGCTTGGACATTGTGGAGGATTACAAATACCTGGGAGTTTTCATAAGCTGGACTGGGCTAAGAACACTGATGCCCTTTACAAGAAGGGCAACAAACTGATCTGCAAGGCCAGTGACGCTGTAGTTTTGGAGCTGGACTCTCTGACAACGTTGTCAGACAAGAGGATGCTGCATAAGATACAATGTCTCCCACCCTCTCCATGACGTGCTGGTCAAACACAGTAGCACGTTCAGTGCAAGACTCAGATCACAAAAATGCACCACAGAGCACCACAGGAAGTCATTCCTGCCTGTGGCCATTCAACTATATAACTTCTCCCTCTGAAAAACTGAGTCAATAGACTGGAGTCATTACAATGCATATCCATTTGCACTAAGTATGTACAATATTTCATATTTTATTTTTATTTTTAATCTTATATGCTATATTTCTACCTTTTACTTATATGTGTTTGTTAGCAATTCTAACAAACACAATAAATCAATAAAGTTTTATTTCTGATTCTGATTCACAAATCACAATTTGTCTCATAGGGCTTTTACAAGGTGTGACATCCTCTGTCCTTAACCCATAACAAGAGTAAGGAAAAACTACAACAACAAAAAACTTTCAACAGGGAAAAAGAGCATTGAAACCTCAGCGGGAGCCACATGTGAGGGATCCTGCTCCCAGAACGGACAGAAGTGCAATAGATGCCACGTGTGATGGAGAACGTCMGAAATATAAGAGTAGCTCTCTGTACCTCTTGATCTTCTCATGCTCATTTTTCCTGATGCTAGTTTCTGTTGCTAAATGCTGTTCGGCCGATACAG